TAATAAGACCTCCCCGAAAATATGGCAAGAGAGCAGCAGCCATGAGGTTCACCAAGCTCACCGCCTCCTGCACCTCAAAAATAATAAGACCTCCCCGAAAATAAGGCCAAGCGCTTATTTCAAGGGGTCAAAAGAAAATAAGACCCTGTCTTATTTTCAGAGAAACACGATAGTATTAGCATTCATAATTTTGGCTCCCTCAAAGGCCCGACTTTCCGTCCTTAGGTCTCTTATATAAAACATGATGAGATTTATTTATCTTCTTGTCGCAGGAAAGGGAAATGGTAAACATTACTGTAGGAACAAGGCTGTTGAGGCAGGAATCAGTTCTTCCCAGGGTACGAGAAAACTGTTAGATCATAGATGAGAAACATAGATGAGATGCTTTCTAAAGTCATCGAGAAAACAGGCAAGTATCTGCTCACCGGGAAAAGTGGAAGGGAAAACTTTACATTTTAAATCCTAGACTGCAGTCCTATTCTAGGCCTTGTACTGCAGTATCTGCTTATTCAGCTTTATTCTTGTTTGCAGCAAAGAGATTTAATTTTTGCTGAGTAGTATTGTGTTTGAGCTTTTTGTGGAGTAAAGCAAATCTTGAATAAGGGATTATGTTTGGGGAGATGAGATTTACAACTGCGGCTGGTGCGGCTGGGCAAATGGTTCATCTCAGCCTCCAAGTAGCTGTAACCATTGGAAACTAACGTAGCATGTTGAAATGTTTACACTGAATTCCAATAAATGGCTTTTAGGTGTAGTTCCGATTCCTGGGGAAGACAGTGGTGGGGAAGGCAAAAGGAGATTGTTAGTAGGGGTGAAAAATAATTTTCCTGAACTTCCGCAATCACACAACACAGTGACAAACTGGAAGTTTACGTGTGATGGAGAGACACACACTGTAGGAGATCATAATCGAGGAACAATGGAACACTGTCATACATCTCTCCAATCTTCTTCCTACAGGGACCAATCAGGCCTTATTGGAAAGCCATTAAGTAGAAGTTTCTGAACTTGAATTCAGTTTTACAGAAGCCCCTGATTACATCACACTACTTCATTATTCTGCTTGCTTATTTGATTTCCTACTAGATTTTTTATTTTTTGGCAAAAAAAATGAAGGTTGTGGAAATTTGAAAATTATTACAATGCAAAAAAAAAAAAAATCTTGAGTTTNCATAGGCATAAACATGCATGCACACATACATACATACATACATACATACATACATACATACATACATACATACATACATAACATCTGCATAGAATAACAGAGTTGAAATGGACCTTGAAGGTTTTCTTGTCCGACCCTTTGCTCAAGCAGGGAACCCTGTACCATTTCAGACAAATGGCAGTCCAATTTCTTCTTTAAAATCTCCAGTGTTGGAGCACCCACAACTTTTGAAGGCAAGTCATTCCACTACACATTTTCCTTGTAGGACTTACACAGGAAGGCCATTGCATAGCTTTGTGTTGCATTCCAATTGTTTCAGCTCTTGGATTGGGACATGAAGCTCATGGTCACTAACTCCTTAGTCACTTCCTGACTGGATTAGTTCAATTTATTTATTTTGTATGGCATAGCCATACAAAAGTCACAGAAACAACATATGAAATATGTATCAAATATAAAACACCCAACCAGTGAATTACTTTAAAAAGATGCCATACAAGTGATGAATAAAATTGTGAGTGTAATTAAATAACATTTGAGCAGTTACTGGAGTGACTAAACCTATAGCTAGATATCTAGATCACCTAGCCATTGGACAAAGGAACAAGGTGGCTCGAGTGATTGGAATGCTGGGCAGGAGGTTAGCAAGTCCACATTTGACACTAAGAGCTGCCGTGGGATGGGATTGGGCTCTTGTCCTTCACATCAGCTCCTGCAAGAGCCATGAAATGCATCCCCAATTGGACGTCCCAGGGGCAACAGTGTTGTCATCAGCTAACCCTTTCAACCGGGAAACACCTTGGTGTATCTGACATGAATGCAAAGCCTTTGGACAGCAGTGCCCTCAAGATGATGCTGTTAATCCTCCCCCCTCATCTTCCCTGAGTCAGTTTGATGCTTGGGACAGCACCCCAGAATTTGGGGGAGCTGGTAGAGTTGTTAAAGGGGTTTCAGGTTAATGTCAGTGTTTCAAGTAACACTCCTAATGAAAGAAGATTCTGAGGCTTGAGTTTCCTCAAAGTTCAATTTTTCCCCACATCTGGGAAAACCCAAATCTGAAAGCTTCCAGGTTTTCTAAAACCAAGTGAAAGATTAAATCCCTGCCCAGCACTAAAGGGAGAGGGGGTTGCAAGGAGTGGTGGAAGATTAGTCACAACAACATCCCTGTCTCTGGGAGTCAAGGACAACTGTGCTGCACCTGGATGGGAGTGGCTGGAGATTGTCTTCAGCTGCATTGAAGAAATGATTGGACCATGTGAGGGACTTGTGGGTGCAGGGGAT